AAACTGATGAGGAGGACAAGGAGACAGTGATCCGTCGTGTCACAGTAAAAGGAGACGATGATGGAGATAAAAGAGTGAAGTGAGTGAGTGAAAAGCAAAGTCCGTTACGTTGACGAAACGAAGGTAAAAACATAATCCACGCATCCCAAGGAGAATACAGAGCAGAAGAGAATGTCACTCGGTCTCTGTCTCTCTCTGACAGCACCACCACCGAAAGATGGCGACACGCCTGCTGTTCACGGTGGTCCCGCGCCTCTATATTATATATCCACTTACCTATGCCCGGTAAGCAACTCGATCCAAAGTGCATGTGTTAGTTTTGTTTGGGGTCCTAAGCAAATATACCATGAAAACAAAGCGCCCTCGGATCTCATGCATTCATGTTACAAGACAGACTACGTATCTGTTGTTATTTAGTTTTGGATCTCAAAAAGTTGGTAATGTAAAATGATTAAGATTCAGTCACAAATTAACTTGTGCTTGTTTTTTTATTCAATGAGAAGTTTGTCACAATTAACATAAATCGAATCGAACCAAACCAAACTATCGTAGTTTCTTTAGTAATCTTAGGGTACATGCTTGTTTTTTTTTTTTTTCCCTATTTGTCAACTTCATAAGTTACTATATATGCGCAACAATATACTAAGTCTATGAAATTATTCCAATTTGTAACTTTTATTGGTGTTTATTGACACTAAGAGAATAAAAGTATGCATGAAAATTCGTAATTATGCACCTGAAAATCATGAATCATATCAACTAGGGAACTAATTTATCTCATTCTCATTCTTTATTTCATTTGCCGATGAGAAATGCTAAGGGGACATTTTTAAATGTAAGACTCTCTATGGACTCTTTACCACCTCATTTCTTATACAATGTTTCGTAATGTTGACATGAAAATTGATGTTAAACTTGTGGGATGGCAGAGAGTTCATTAAAAGTCCGACTTTAAGAGAGTCTCATTAACATTTCTCTTTTCCAATTCATGACTTTCCCGTTTCAAAATAAGTAAAACTGCCATATAAAGTCCGACTTTAAGCGAGTCTCATTAGCACTTCTCTTTTCCGATTCATGACTTTCCCGTTTCAAAATAAGTAAAAATGCCATATATTCATTTTCTTTTTCCGAAACTATCACTTAACCTCCCTGTTTTCCATCTTTTGTCGTCAGCGATAACCCCCTTCTCACCGAAAGATGTCATCTTATTTCCTCCATCTCAACCCTATAGGCCTATCCTCCATTGATTTTGTGGAGTTCCCTTTCTTTCTTAACGGAAAATTAGCCCTAGAAAATCTCTAACCTATTTCTTTTGTAATTCTTCGCTCGTGTTATTGGTACCTTACATGCTACAAATGTTTAAGATATGCAATGCAATCGTCAATCGTGTGCGATACTATCATACTAGCATTATGCAATCGTCAATCGTGTGCAATACTGTCATACTAGCATTTATTCATAATTGTAGATTACATGTTAACCAATAATGATAATAGCATCATAATCGAATGAAGCTATAGCACTGGCGAAGCCAATGAAGGCTCAGGAGGATCACTCGACCCTTCTCACGTCCAAGTTGTGGTTATATATGCCTTGTTTGTATCTTTTTATTTTTTATTTTATATATATATATATATATATATATATAAAATTTTAAGGTTTTGACCATGCTGGTCCATTGAAAAGTAAGTGTGATACTTGATTTTTTTGATCCGTATCCTCAGAGTTATAATTCATAAATGAAATTTAACATTTTGTATTTTTTTCTTTTTATTGTGTTAACGATCACTGATTAGCTAATCACTTAACCCTAATTATACAATTTCTAATTTCGCCACTGAGCTATCGTAACTCATTTTGTAATGAAAATTTGATGCTAGCACATAAATTATACAAATCTGTATAAACTAAATAAAATGGGAAAAAGGCAAAATTCCAAAGAAAAAAAATACGAAGTAAAAAGAAAATGGTGAACATGAGGCGGTTGGCAAGGAGGATCACGTTGCAAGTAAAGCTGAGGGGAGGGCTCTGCACGCGTGCGGGGGCCACATCCTTTTGGGCCCACACGTGTGGACCACACCCAGAAGTGGTCTGCTGGCTGGCGTCGAGCACACTCTACACATCAATCGACACTTGTCGACCTGTTGCAGGCCCAAAGTTTTTACCAACAAAAAAATTTAAAAAGTAAAAATAAAAAATAATTCACATAACTTTGGTGGCACGCTATTCTGTCCTACCACCGGGAGTGGCGGGGTATGCTGTCACTTTTACCAGCCCACAGGCTTCTGTCACACCCCGTTGACATATAATAAATAATAAAATTAGATTAGGGCTTTTGCTTTAATTTTCTTTTGTGTTAGGCCATTGATGTTGCATGCCTCCTTATCTTTTAACAATTAACATAGATTAAGTCTTGGGATTAAAGCTAAGAGCTTATTAGTTAATTAGTGTAGACTCCTCGACAACTGTTAACGTTAGTTTAATAATCAGTTTGAAAATACGTATACTTATCACTTATCAACTGTTGATACAGTTTGAAGATTTTTGCTATATTCAAAAGGACAATGCTATTTAAACGGACAAAACGAATATACTTCCTGACACAATTTATATGTGATAGTATAGATGAGTTTTACATACTATGGAAGGTCATGCCTATATTAGAGAGTGTACAAAAATGTATAAGTTATGTGTGTTAAAATAAAATTTGGGTTGTTGTTAGACCAACTCTTTCGTCTTATTTTTCCAAGCCACATTATAATACCACCCATCATAAAATGTTATTTCCTCACTCATTATTATTCTTAGAAGAACCTCTAATGTACAAGCCCAACAAAAGGATAAAATTGGGAAACACACGCTCAACCGTTGGATTTCTCTTATAATGAGATCGTGCGACTGTCAGTTAACCATGCCTTTTTACTTTTTTGTTTCTTTCTTTTTTCTTCACATATCTCTACCTCGCGAAGGCACCAGAGGTTCTCCGATTCTTCTTGAGTTCGAGGTTGGAGTCGATTGATTTGCGCCTGCTAGTGAGGCAGAGTGATTTCTCCCATTCAAGGGGGGAAAGGGGCAAAATAATAGGGTTTAAAAGTATTTTTATTTTTAAAAGCATACTTATTATAGTCAAAATAGTGTGGTAAGTGCTTATTTTCATCAAATGGAGGACTTATTCGTAAGGACCTTGAAAAAGTTTTAGGGTTTCGTAACTTACAAAATGGGGCAAAAAAGTGAATATCATGAAGGGGAAAAGAAATTAGATTATAATTGAATTCTTAAGTCTATCTTAAGATTTGGAGCATTGTATAATCAAACACCCACTTAGGTTGGTCTGCCATTAGCTTCTAATTTTGGCCAATCAGATTTAATTATTTTTTTCCTTTTTAGTGACGGCCAACTTTGAGGAGTGGAGAATGTGGGAAGGTTTGAAAAATGCATGGTGGGAGATGAGAGAAGACCATGCCACATTGACCTGGCAAAATTTGGCAAGTTGTATTGACTTGTACATGTTCAGTAAAGTGAAATTATGGTGGAGAAAAGTACTGTATTATTTTGTGTAAGACTATGAGGGGATTCTAAGAAAGTGGCATACTTAAGTCTTTTACCTAGGACAATTATGGATCTGCAAAATTCAACCCCATTGTGACTTGTCATAGCCTAGGACGTCTCATTAAGATATAGATAGATTGTGTAGCTAGATTGGCTTAGTGTAGTGTGCCAGTCACTTTGCACTTTAGTTTGATATTCTTCTTTGTAAATTAGACTGTATAAGTATAGAATGTGTTACGTGAGGTATATTGTACATTTGTTACATGTAAGTTTTTCTTAGGTAATTGACTTAGTTTGCAACTGCATTTTTTTTATATTGGAAGACAATCTTGTTGACAAGTCAGAAATAAACAGACTCAGTATCCTTTTTGAGAGTTAATTAACTGAATTGGTAGTATCAAAATTTCTTCTGGCTAGTTAACTCCAGTGACAAGTGACTAATTGATGGGTACATATGGAGAAATTTTTTAGTGCGCTGGGAACACGGCCTGGTACATTAAGTATCATAATACAATTGATTGGATTTTTTTTTTTTAAAGTTTCTAACCAATTATATTATTACACTTGGTATATCGGACCGTATGCCCGACATATTGAAAAAATCTCTCGTAGGTATGAAAAAATTAGTATTATTTTGACCGAAAGTGGAGGGAGTAGCATATATTCAATTAAGGTTGCTATGGTTTGGAAAAACAATAGAGTAAGACTTGGGTTATTGTTTGAATATTAGTGGGTTAGTAATATATAGTGGGATGAAAACGTGTTTCCTTGCTTATTTAATCAACTAAACACATATGTCTATAAAGAAAGGGTACATGTAATAGGGTCGTGGAACTACATCATCAACACGTAAGGATGAATATTCTGTATTCAGTCCAAACTAATCGATAGAGAAAATACTTCGAATCAATATTCGAGTACTAGGCGCCACAGTACTGAAATAACCCACTATATACTATGATGTATAAACATATTTTTCTATATTTTAATCTCATAAGCGAGGTTGATTAATCAAACATATATAATTTGTTTTCTAAGTATAAAGCAACCAGTTGGACACTTGTGCATGAGATCAGACTGACCCAAAATAATTAAACAACCATATGACAATATCCAATATTGCTTGACAGCCAAACTATGCTTATAAAAATTGCATGTTTATATAAGTGCATATATATATATATATATATTTGCATGAGGCGTGATGGCATGAGAAAATGAGGTCGCATGCTAAAACCCTCATGATTTTGTCTTTGTTTTCACATGCAAACCATTGTTTTTACCCTATTAACTTTTCACCTCATTTTCACATGAAGATTGGAGGGTAAATTCGAACGGACTGACCGTCTGGCATATGGCATGTACATCAAAGTGTGGATTGATGCAGAAAACTCAGAGATAAAAAAAGTCCTAGAGAGAGAGAGAGAGAGAGAGAGAGAGAGAGAGAGAGAGGACAGTCGGTGAGACAGAGTTGAAGTGTTGGAAAGCGCCCAAACAAACCAGTACCGCAAGAAAAATCAGCAGTAAACGAGAGAGAGAGAGAGAGAGAGAGAGAGAGAGAGAGAGAGAGAAATGATGTGAATACAAATACAGTTCCTCTTCTGTCTGAAATTAAGGGGGTTTTCTCTTCTTAAAAACCTTTTCCTTTATCATTTTTCTGCTCCATATATATTTATACATACATAACAGTTTGAGTTTGAAAAACCAAAAGCAAAAGAACACAGCCACTTCTCGACAACTCTGACCATGAATGAAACAACAAAATCACACTAATAGTCTCTCTAGCTTCCGGGCATCAACAAAACCTTCCTAGCAAATCCAAACCTGTAAGTTTCTTGTCTCAAAAATCTTCAATATTATCTCTTCTTCCCTTTATGATTCTGCTAGTGATTTTAACACTCATCTTTTAGTCTCATACGCTCCGTGCAGCGTAAAGTATGAGTACCAAAATCGCGATGTATGATTCGTGTGCTTATAGATCCGTATAAACATATGTAAATTTTGTGACTTTGGTGTTATATAGTGAGGAGGCCTTGTCATGATGGCGGTGACGTCATCCTGCAAAGATGGTGGGATGAAGATGCAGATGGACAATGGCAAGTACGTAAGGTACACGCCGGAGCAGGTGGAAGCTTTGGAGCGGTTGTACCATGAGTGCCCGAAGCCGAGCTCCATGCGCCGCCAGCAGCTCATCCGTGAGTGCCCTATCCTCTCCAACATCGAGCCTAAGCAGATCAAAGTCTGGTTCCAAAACCGCAGGTGAAAAAAAGTTTAATATCTTTTCTGTTCATCAAGCAGTCAAATTTCTCAATTGGGTTGATTTATTTTTGGTTTTTAAATTTTGGGTTGGATCTATTTATTTATTTATTTTTGGCTTGGGTTGTTGTGTTTGAGCAGATGTAGAGAGAAGCAGCGGAAGGAGGCGTCGAGGTTGCAGACCGTGAACAGAAAGCTGACGGCGATGAATAAGCTTCTGATGGAGGAGAATGATCGGTTGCAGAAGCAGGTGTCTCAGCTGGTCTACGAGAACAGCTACTTCCGCCAACAGACACAAAATGTAAAATCATTCACCTCCATCATTTACAACATTCAAGTAAAAAAAAAAAAAAATCATCTTGGTCAATTTTCTTACACAAACGGAGAAGAAAAATGCAAATTCTCACCAAATTACCGTAAATTTTGAAAAGCGATTTTGACACTCCTCTTTTAGCCACTACACTTCAAATCGACAATTTTACAGTTTTTCTTAACTTACCGGCAAGACGTTAAAAAATGAGTCTTCAGATATTTTCACTCTTAATTTCTTCATATATAGTATTTCTTTTATTTTTGTTCCTTATTTCTTGTTAAGTTATTCAATCGTAAAGCTGGAATTAACTGAAATCACAAATTTTTAGTTGTTGTGGGTTGAGAAAGGGGAATTCTCTTATATTGGCTCAATTTGGTGGATCAAAATTGTTCTTCTCATAATTCCGATAAATGGGAATTCAAATCAATCTAGGAAAAATTTGATATTTTATTTCTTGCAGATAATATATAAACTTTTATTTATTTTTTCCTTAAGCTTTTGGCATGATGGGGTTTTGAGATTTGTTGTTTCTTTGTTGGATTTGCAGGCGACTTTAGCCACGACAGACACAAGTTGTGATTCGGTGGTGACGAGCGGTCAACACCATTTGACTCCGCAGCAGCATCCACCACCACCGCCAAGGGATGCGAGCCCTGCAGGGTCCGTGTTCAACACCATTTCATGATTTTATTCTTCTTGTATTTGTTTTGTCCTTTTCACTTGTTTTTTTCTTTTCTTTGGACCGCTGAGAGAAGAGAATATATAAGATTTTGATTGTTCTTTCTTTCTTTTCTTTTGTTTTGTTTGTTTGTTTTTAGACTTCTGTCCATTGCAGAGGAAACTTTAGCAGAGTTTTTATCAAAGGCCACTGGGACTGCTGTGGAGTGGGTCCAATTGCCTGGGATGAAGGTCTCTCTCTCTCTTTCTGTCTCTCTCTATACATCTTTTTTTCATTCTCAATACCATTTCATCAAACTTTGCTAAGCTTCCAAGCAACACCCAAAACACATCATTATCTCAATTTTTTTTTACACACTAATCTTTTGCTTTTGCACTTTTGGGTCCCCCATTCTTCTTATTTTTGCTTCACCCAAGGCAATAGAAGAATATTGTATTGCATTCTTTTATGCCACATAATTGTCTAGTAAAAGCTTTTAAAGTTCACTCTTTATCAAATTCAAATGTACAATGAAGAGAAGTTATTTTCTCAATACGCATAAAAAAACAGTTGTGTAAGATACACAAAAGTGTAAAAGCATTCTTTTTACGTACTTTGTTAAATGACTTAAAGGATAATCAAGATGCATAAGAAAACATGGTGTAAGACAGTGAATGCGTGTATTTTTTTCTTCTCAAAACGGATAAAATTTGATAAAGAATTGATAAATATGCACAAATTAAACCTGCTATACATTTTGCATCAAAACTAATAAGGAGGACCGTATTTGACAATAAACAGTTAAACCTTTATTGTCTATTTAGTATTCCTCTAATTTTATTTTGAATTAAAAGTTTATAACCGATTTTAGTCATGCACATTTCCTTAAAGAATTAAGGAAGTAATAGCAATTATTCTTTTCTTTTTTTTGGTCGGGTCCCAACTCTGCATGCCATTGCTGATTATGTACATTGTACGTGTGTTTTGAACTGCACAGCCTGGTCCGGATTCCATTGGAATCGTTGCAATTTCTCACGGTTGCACCGGTGTGGCAGCACGTGCATGCGGCCTTGTAGGTCTAGACCCTACAAGAGTAAGTTCTTCTTCTCCCCCACTTGCTCTACTAAATTAAAGCACTAATCTTTGTAAAATTTTGGTAATTAAGTGTTAATCAAAGACACTCTTGCTGTACACAGGTCGCTGAAATCCTCAAAGATCGGCCTTCGTGGTTCCGAAACTGCCGATCTGTGGATGTGCTGAACGTGTTGTCCACTGGCAATGGTGGAACCATTGAACTGCTTTACATGCAGGTAAGCAAGATCCTCTCCAGTCTCTATTTCTGTAGTTCTCGTATCTGTTTTCATCAATATTAATAAACATGCTTAACAAATATCCGAATTTTTTTGCCTCTTTTAGCTCTATGCACCCACAACTTTGGCTCCAGCTCGAGATTTCTGGTTGCTTCGCTACACATCGGTACTAGAAGATGGTAGTCTCGTGGTATGTGATGATTTTTTTGTCCTTACGAAGTTTTAATATAAAATAGAACTTGGGTGACACTAAACGAACAATAAGCCTTGTACATTAATTAGTGTCCCCCGTTCCATTTTTTTTTAAAAAGTTTTGTAACCGATGTCCTTGTTTCTTTTGTATGAGCACTCAATAATTTGGTGTTACTTGTTTGTAACTTTGCCCACTTCAAGCACCTTTAATTTGGTTTTTATGCTGTAATTGTTGTTGGTAGGTCTGTGAAAGATCACTTAACAACACACAGAATGGTCCTAGCATGCCACCGGTGCAGAATTTTGTGAGAGCAGAAATGCTGCCGAGCGGGTATCTAATTAGACCTTGTGAAGGTGGTGGCTCGATCCTTCACATTGTTGATCATATGGATTTGGAGGTATGCAGAGCAGTCTGGCCTTTGTACGTTGAAGCAATGTCATTTCCTTGGCTTGATTGATCACAATTTTGACTTGTTAATTTGATTGCTTTAAACCAGCCTTGGAGTGTACCCGAAGTGTTGCGCCCGCTTTATGAGTCATCAACACTTCTTGCTCAGAAGACAACTATGGCGGTAAGATAGTTTTCTCCTGATCGATGTCGTTTTTTCTTGTTTGGATATTAAATTTGGTAGTTGAGAATGTTTGTTTAAAACAAGTTAGAATCGTAGAAATGATGAGCTTGCATAATATTCGAAGAATGAAGCACCATACATCTTGTGTTCTAATGTAGATGTATTTCTTATTTCAGGCATTACGCAACCTGAGGCAGATTTCTCAAGAAGTTTCTCAGCCTAATTCCGCTGGTTGGGGAAGAAGGCCTGCAGCTCTCCGTGCTCTTAGTCAGAGATTGAGCAAGTGCGTTATAATTTCACCTCCTTATGATTTCTTAGAATGGTTAATCAACTTTCAACTTGTTGGAGTCTTACAAATTTTGTATTGCAGAGGTTTCAATGAAGCAGTTAACGGGTTTACAGATGAGGGATGGTCTGTTCTAGAAAGTGATGGTGTTGATGATGTTACCCTTCTTGTGAACTCGTCTCCGGGCAAGATGATGAGTGCAAATCTTTATACCAATGGAGTTCCATCTATGAGCACTGCAGTCTTATGTGCCAAAGCATCCATGTTACTCCAAGTAAGGATTTAGATGCGTTTTGGCCAATAACTAACAAAATTAAGTTGCAATAATACCTAATAAGAAGCAGAAAAAGTATCCAGAAGGCACATATCAAATGATTTTGGTTTACATTTTGGTTTTTTGCTCTTTTTTCTTCTCTAAAACAAACATTTCAGAATTTCGTTATTGACTTGTGTGTATCGTTTCCATTTCCTACAGAATGTGCCTCCAGCCATACTTCTTAGATTCTTGCGAGAACACCGATCAGAGTGGGCTGACAGAAGCATTGATGCTTATTCAGCTGCTGCTATCAAAGCTGGTCCCTGCAACATGCTAGGGCCTCGAGCTGGAAGTTTCGGGGATCAGGTTATTCTTCCCCTGGCTCACACAATTGAGCATGAAGAGGTAGGCACCTGGTTTTGAATTTTTCAGTTAACCGTAAAAGGCCATTCTTTCATTAATTTAGCTGTTTTTTTTCATCTTAGCATAGCAATATGCTATCTGAATTCTGATATATTTTGGTTTTCTGTAAACAGTTCATGGAGGTCATTAAGATTGAAAACATGGGCCACTATCGAGAGGATATGATGATGCCTGCAGCTGACATTTTCCTCTTGCAAGTAAGTACATATATTTTCTTTTCGATTTGATTAGTAGCATAATGTTCTTGCAGTAATGCTCCACAGAAGTATTTGCAGTATATTTTTACTCTTCATATTTGATAGCTCTTAACATCCTTACTGGCTATGGTCACTGATTCTTGCTGTTTCTGTTGCATCAAACCCCAGCTGTGCAGCGGAGTGGATGAGAATGCCGTCGGGACCTGCGCTGAACTAGTATTTGCTCCCATTGATGCATCATTTTCGGATGATGCTCCAATTCTACCTTCTGGTTTTCGCATCATCCCTCTTGATTCTCGGATGGTAACCATTCATCTTATACGATATATCATAATATTATAGAATTCATTTTCCATCCCTTTTGTTTGATATGTTTTGTGTGATTACATCCTATATGCTTAAATTGTTGTGCAGGATACTCCGAGTCCAAACCGTACGCTTGATCTTGCCTCAGCTCTTGAAGTTGGACCTGCAGGAAGCAGAGCATCTGGTGATAATGCTGGCCACTCTGGCAATACAAAGTCTGTGATGACAATAGCATTCCAGTTTGCATTTGAAATTCACCTCCAAGAAAATATAGCCGCCATGGCTCGGCAGTATGTGCGCAGTATCATAGCATCAGTGCAGAGGGTGGCACTGGCACTCTCCCCGTCTCATTTTGGTTCGCATGCTGGTTTCCGGCCTCCACCTGGCACCCCTGAAGCACAAACACTTGCTGGTTGGATCTGTCAGAGCTATAGGTGCGTATAGTACAAGTTCTTATGTTACAAGAGATTGGGTATTTGGTTTGAAAATGGCAATGATAGTATGACACTTGTTGCCGGATCCTGCCATCAATCGTTCGTCGTAGAATTGGACAAAAGTGACTGCTGTATGCTGATTAATCTTGATCTTTTCAGGTGCTATCTGGGTGGAGAACTACTAAAAACCGAAGGAAGCGAGTCCATTCTCAAATCCCTTTGGCATCACTCGGATGCAATCTTATGTTGCTCCTTGAAGGTAAATTGCTTACCATTTTTCTTTGGTTTTACAATATGAAGCATTTAATTTCATGCCTTTCGTAACAATGTGGTTCCTCCTCCTCTTCCATAATCTAACTGCATCATTTATGCAGGCAATGCCAGTTTTTACATTCGCAAACCAGGCAGGCCTTGACATGCTTGAGACGACGTTAGTTGCACTTCAAGACATAACACTGGAGAAGATTTTTGATGACAACGGAAGGAAGACCCTATGCTCCGAGTTCCCGCAGATAATGCAGCAGGTATAGTACTTTGAAGTCCAGCTAGATTTTTCGGTACTTTTGAAATAGGCGATTAACTAACCTTTCGTTATTCAAATCTTGGGGTGCAGGGTTTTATGTGTCTTCAAGGAGGAATATGCATGTCAAGCATGGGAAGGCCGATCTCGTACGAGAGAGCAGTGGCATGGAAGGTGTTGAACGAAGAAGAAACTGCTCACTGCATCTGCTTCATGTTCATCAACTGGTCATTTGTTTAACACTTTGGAGGCCACAAGAACAACATCATAGGATATAGAACTTAGAAATTAAAACCTCTTCTTTGCACCAAAGGCATATTGGGCCCAAATTTTTTTGGTTATCAATATCATCTACTCTTTGCTACTTTTCTTCATGCTTTATTTATGAATCATAATGCTGCTGCCCTTTGTTTTCTTCTCCCTTTAAAAAAGACTACATACCAGCTTTGTAATCTTGGAGTTGAGATGAGCACTGCATTTGAATGCATCTTAGGATCTCGTTGAAAAGAAAAACTCACTCACAACGGGGTTGTATACCTTCTCTATGTCAGTCTCGTCATGTGATAAGTCCTGTTAATTGTGGGTTTCTATGACACTCATGTTTGAAACTGTGGGTTTGAGATTAAATATGAACTTTAGGTTTATGGGTACCTACATACAAACACATAGATATATATAGACACACAAGAATATATATTTTGTATTGGGGGTTATTTCGGGACCATACGTGTAAATGATAGGTCACGGTCCAAAATTGTGGGGTGACATGGGCTACATGCCCATCTGGTGATTGCTGGGTTGTGGGCTAGCTGAGAAAAATGGTGGGTCAACAGAACCCAACCTCTATTATTGGGCTAAGAAATAAAAAGTGAAAAAAAAATAAAGCCCAATATGTGGTATGCTTATTCATACAGGCCAAATAAAATTAGGCTCAAAAGAAAGAAATGAGAGGCCGGTTTGGGCAAGCCTAATTGGGCTTTGAGTTGGCTGAGATCCAAGACTAGTGTAGCTGGGTTTGAGGGTTTCACCAAAAAACCACATGGGGGCGGCTGTAGGCGGTGGTGCATGGTGGCACATATACTAGAAGGGTGTCAAGAGAGGTAATCTCAGGTGGTGGCGAGTCAGGGTTTGATTGGAACCTTGAAATTCATGACACGGGGGAAGGGGGGATCTCGAAGTCGAGGCTGTTGGGAAAAGGTTGAAGATGCTATTGTGAATACTGTGTTTAAGAATGGAAAAAATTGAACAAACTCGGAAAATTGAAATAAATAATCAATACAAACAACACCAAAAATTAACATGGTTTTGCTATATGTACCTACGTCCAAATGGCAGCAGTAACAATTTTTCACTACATCAATAATGAGTACAACGAATAATCCTGCCAAGCCTCTAGAATAATAAACTTGATGAAAAACCTGAAAGAACAAGAAATACACTCTTTATCTCTTTTCTTTTCTCTCGCATACACTTTGCCTTATCCCACTTTGACTCATTGAGTGGTGTATAACTTATTGTTATGCTACAATTCAAAACTAGTGCAATAGCCCTTCTTATACACATAATAAAGGTATTCTTCAATGAGGATTAATAATCCTGATTGGATTCTAGTTATGCCTCTTTCTCCAATCGAGAAACTAACTCCAATTGGGAAAACAACATAAATTGGGTAAACAAATTAAATTGCGAAAATAATTCCAAGTAGGTAATAATTTAATCCTATAAGTCTATAATTCTAATAGACTTAAGACAATTTATCATGGGCTCGAAAAACCTAACAATCTTCCCCTCCACACCATGAGGATGGTATACCAAAATATGATTGCTCCTTTTAACAAAACTCCTATTAATCAAACTTTTCATAACTAGGCTCCCCCTAATTGTACTACTCATAACCAGACTCCTCATGATCAAACTACTTATAACCAGGCTCCACCTGATTGACTACTCAACTTCATTGGTAAAGGCAATTATAGACTTCTTTGCTAAAAAAAAATTGCTCATTTGCACTAAAGAATCTCTTCAACGTAAGTCACAACGCCTATGGTATTGTTCCCATCCTTTTGTTCATTTTTTCTATTTACGACAATGCTTCTTCATGTGACCATTTTTTCCACAATAGTTGCAGTTACCACTGAATCTCGTCTCACCAAATGTTTTGCCTATTTTCTTAGTGACTAAGAGTTGTCCAGCGTCTACACTTGAAGCTTTTCTCCTTGTTTCTTCATTGAAAATACCATCATTAACATCATCCATAGACAGTACACAATTAGAAGTCGAATTGCTTACAGTTACAACGAAGGTTTCCCAACTATCTGGCAAAGATCCTAGCAACAATTCTTCAATATTCAAACCCATAGTGGCCACTTGATTCATCATGTTCTAAAAGTTGTTCAAGTGCTCAGTTACACTAACATCTTCCGCATACTTCATGTTGACAAGCTCCTTGGTAAAGAATGCTTTCTTGGTAGCAATCTTCTTCTCAAAGAGGAATTCTAACTTTTCCAAAGAGTTTGCGCATCAGTCTCTTTAGACACATGATGATGGATCTCATCCACTCATTGTATAATCGTACCAATAGTTACGATTCACCTTGGTTCACTTGGTATCATACATACTTGTTGGCTTGCTCTTAAGACCTTCAGTTAGCTCATGGAGATCTTTACAATAAAGCATGTACTCCATTCTTGATTTCCATATTATCTAGTTGAAGCGGGTGAGTTTCATCATAATTGCACCCTTCATTCTAAACGGCTATCAGCTAAACCAGGCTCTGATACCACTTGTTGTGAATATCATGTTTAAGAATGGGAAAAACTAAACAAACTCAGGAAATTGACGTGGTTGGATTATATGTGCCTACGTCCATAAGGTAGCAACAACAATCTTTCACTATATCAATAGTGAGTGCAACGATTAATCTTACCAAACCTCTAGAATAAAGAACTTGATGAAAAATCAGAAAGAACAAGAACTACACTATTTATCTCTTTTCTTTTCACTCCCACACACTTTGCCCTTCTCTCACTCTGACTCCTTGAGTGGTGTACAACTTATTGTTTTGCTCCAATTCAAAACTATTGCAATAGCCCTTTATATCGACATTATAAAGGTTTTCTTCAATAAGGATTACTAATCCTATAATTGGAATCTAGTTATGAATCCTTCACCATTTGAGAAACTAACTCCAATTGGAGAAACAACTTAAATTGGGTAAACAATTTAAATTAGGTAAACAACTCCAATTGGGTAATAATCCTTTAAGACTATAATTCTAATAGACTTACGACAACTCATTCTGGGCTGGAAAAACCTAACAGGTGCTACTGCAGTTGGGTATGCCTATGTTCAAAGATTTTCGATATTTTAAAACTAGGTGAGTAACTAACCTTTCGTTATTCAAATATTGGGGGTGCAGGGTTTTATGTGTCTTCAAGGAGGAATATGCATCTCCAGCTGTTTGGGCCTAAATTCACATTTTTGGCCAAATTGAAGTTAGCCCAAAAAAGGGGCTATGAGTTTAGGCTCGATGGTGCAATATTGATAGAGTAGCTGAGTCCCAGATAGGCTGAGATTGTTGAGGATTAATTGAGATGTTTTCTGTCACATCCCGGCCCGGGGCAGACCACTTCCCGGGCCCGCTCCACCATCGTAACACGATATTGTCCGCTTTAGGCCCCGACCACGCCCTTACGGTTTTGTTTCTGGGAACTCACACGAGAACTTCCTAGTGGGTCACCCATCTTGGGAATGCTCTCGTGCGAACTTGCTTAACTTCGGAGTTCCGACGGAACCCGAAGTCAGTGAGCTCCCAAAAGGCCTCGTGTTAGGTAGGGATGAGAATATACATTTAAGGATCACTCCCCTGGGCGATGTGGGATGTTACATTTTCTGATGAGTATCAGAATATTCCAAGGATTGAAGATTGTGGCTAATGGGATAAGGAATGAATTGAACGCATGAAAGGACTAGGTTCAGAGTCTGAATTCAAGTGGCAGAGGCTGAGAAAGGATGGCGATAGAGTTTCGGCAGAGAATAATTCTGAATATATTCAATGAATATGTCGAGGAATTGCAATATTATTAGAATTTATCACTCGGCATGCTTGGGCACCAAGAAATATATCCCTATAAATATAGAAGGATTTGCAACGTAGAAACCCCTTCCAACTTTGCAAACAACTCAAAATGCTCTACGCAAAATCCTTTTCACACACCTGAGAAAAATACTAGCTATCATAACACTCTTGTCAATACATTTTCAGTTTGGATAAGTAAACAACATCATGTTGACAATCGATGACACCTTGAGTTTGGATAAATAAACAGCAATGGAGCCGTAAAACAATAAGATTTAGGAGCACCTTCAATTTGGCAAGTAAACAACACTGCTTCTAGTCGGTTGGTTATTTATTTAAGTATCTGTCGGTGAAAAGTTCTTAATTCTTTCGCCTAAAAAGGTCACTTTATTAGCTCCGACGAAGTGAGGTGTTCTATGATCGGTTATGTGGACTTCATATTTCAACATTCAGATGACTGAACAATGTTCATTATAAAGACACTCATCTCTTTAGAATACCTTTGCCCCCACAACCTGATACTGATACGGTGTAGTTATATTCTCACGAATATAGTTGAATCGACCGAACCCCGTGCACAAGATCCTGAACTTTGTAGTGAATTAAGCAACCTTATCTTTAGGTTCTAGAACCCTAGACCAAGAGGTGTTCCTTCCTTGGTCGTAGTCACTAAAGTGCAGAAGTCAATAGCGCATTCAACAACACCACCACATCTATTCAACTCACCCGACCGAGCTCAATCACGAGTTGACATGCCTGCATTCACAAGAAGAACATAGTTAGTTCATAATTACTCGGCATGCGCATCATGTAGGCTTTGTAATTTTTAAAATCAACACATGCATAAAAAGACCGATCTTGTACGAGAGAGTAGTGGGCATGGAAGGCGTTAAATGAAGAAGAAATTGCTCACTGCGTCTGTTTCATGTTCATCAACTGGTCATATGTTTAACACTTTGGAGGACACGAAAAATATCATAGAATTTAGAAAGACAAAAACTACAGTAATAGAAATTAAAACCTCTTCTCTGTTATGAGCATGGTCACCCAAACGCATGTTGGACCCATTTTTAACTTTTAATCTTTGGTTATCATATTACTCTTTGTACTTTTCTTTATGCTTTATTTATGAATCATAATGCTCCTGCCTTTTCTTTCTTCTCTCTTGAAAGAAACATATTTTATTTTAGTTTTGTAAAGCTTGGAGATGAGCACCAGACTTTGAATGCTTTGTATGATCTCACTGCTGAGTGAAACTCACCTTTAACGTGTGTATCCTCTTCTCT